ACACTCACTCTAACACTCACACACACTAACACTCACTCTAACACTCACACTAACACTCACACATGATTTTATTTTTTATTTTTTTAAATGTAATCCCCCCAGCCTCCTTACCTTTTGGAGTGCTGGGGGGATTCCCTGGGGTCCAGTGGTGCTGCTGGGCTCCTGGGCGGGTGGCTGGTCGGGCAGGCAGGCGGGCGCGCGAGGGAGCACTTAGTGCTTCCTCTTCAGCTCCCTCGCGCGCCGCGTAGGGATGCCGGAGTCGGAAGATGACGTCATCTTCCGGCTCCGGTATCATTGCGGTGCGCGAGGGAGCTGAAGAGGAAGCAGTGAGTGCTCCCTCGCGCGCCCGCCTGCCTGCCTGCCCGACCGGCCACCCGGGGTCAGCAGGGCCAGCCTCAGGGGGCCCTGGGGTGGCCGGCTCCTGGGCCCCCCAGGGGAAGAGGCTGGCCCTGGGCGTACATACCGGGTCGCAGGGGCGGCCGGGCCCCCTGGTGGGCCGGGCCCGGTCGCAGCCGCGACCCCTGCGACCCTGGTATGTACGCCACTGCACATGCTGCATCTTCTATCATATAGGAGCATTAAAACAGCAAATATGAAGCTTCCTGTCTTGCCATAAAATTAGGGATTATTCTAGCCATAGTGACTGAATAATCTAAATTCAATTAACGACAGGAGGGGAATATTTTCCCTCCCTTCTTTGTTTTCATTATCATTTATACCCGCCCTAAGGTAAGTTACTACATATTTTTTCTAGTCGATCTGTTTCAAACACATTCATACATTATCTGTCATAGGTTTACACCACAACACTCTAAACAAGAGTTTAATATAATCAACATCATTTTACATGAAATGTATTAAAATTGTTGATCCTAGTGTGCATGCCATAAACATGCATTCAACTAGTAAGAGAACCTATACTCTCATGATTTTTTCTCTACTTCCCTTTAGTGTGAAAAATCCCAACACTTGTGATATATGGATTCATCAATCCCGTTGAAAGTTTACATGGTTGACTACATCAGGACCTCGAATTGGTCCACAGTTCATAGTTACGCTTTACATGGTTACATAGTTACATAGTTACATAGTTACATAGCTGAAAAGAGACTTGCGTCCATCAAGTTCAGCCTTCCTCACATTTGTTTTTTGCTGTTGATCCAAAAGAAGGCAAAACCCAGTTTGAAGCACAATTTTGCAACAAGCTAGGAAAAAAATTCCTTCTTGACCCCAGAATGGCAGTCAGATTTATCCTTGGATCAAGCAGTTATTACCCTACATTGAAAGATTATATCCTTGAATATTCTGTTCTTGCAAGTATGCATCTAGTAGCCGTTTGAACATCTGTATGGACTCTGATAAAACCAATTCCTCAGGCAGAGAATTCCACATCCTGATTGTTCTTACAGTAAAAAAACCTTTCCTTTGCCTTAGGCGAAATCTTCTTTCTTCCAGTCTAAACGCATGGCCTCGTGTCCTATGTAAAGTCCGGTTTGTGAATAGATTTCCACACAATGGTTTGTATTGGCCCCGAATATATTTGTATAATGTTATCATATCCCCTCTCAGGCGACGTTTTTCTAAACTAAATAGGTTTAAATTTGTTAACCTTTCTTCATAGCTGATATGTTCCATTCCTTTTATTAATTTTGTAGCCCGCCTCTGCACTTTTTCTAGTGCCATAATATCCTTCTTTAGAACAGGTGCCCAAAATTGCACAGCATATTCAATATGGGGTCTTACCAGTGATTTATAAAGAGGCAAAATTATATTCTTGTCCCGAGAATGAATGCCCTTTTTCATGCATGACAATACCTTACTGGCCTTGGCCACTGCTGATTGACATTGCACATTGTTGCATAGTTTGTTGTCTATAACAATTCCCAAGTCCTTTTCATGTGTTGTTATCCCTAATTCGCTTCCATTAAGGGTATACGTTGCTTGTGTATTCTTTACGCCGAAGTGCATAACTTTGCATTTTTCAACATTAAATTTCATCTGCCATTTGAGTGCCCAGTCCCCCAGTCTATCTAAATCCCTCTGCAGCAAAGTAATATCTTGCTCACATTGTATTGTTTTACAAAGTTTTGTGTCATCTGCAAACACTGAAACATGACTTTCAATGCGGTCTTCAAGATCATTTATAAACATGTTAAATAGAAGGGGTCCCAGAACAGACCCCTGAGGGACACCACTTGCCACCTCTGTCCAGCTTGAAAATTTACCATTAATGACAACTCTTTGTACTCTGTTTTTAAGCCAATGTTCTACCCAAGAACAAGCATTTTCATCTAGACCGATTTCCTTGAGTTTGAACACTAATCTATTGTGTGGAACTGTATCAAATGCCTTGGCAAAATCCAACTACTGGTTGATACTCGGATATCTTCGGCTACAGCAAGAAAGAGGATATGGGAGGAGCTTGATAACATCATATAATACTGTTATACACTCTGATTGGTTGAATTATTTTACATTATTGTTAACTATTTCTTAGCTGCTGGGAGGTTCAGTAAAGAAAGATAAAGCAAATATTCGCCTTCTGTCGTTAATAAAATTTAGATTATTCAGTCACTAGGGCTAGAATAATCCCTAATTTTCAAGAATTTCTGTAACCTAGCATATTCTGCATTTTCCTACTGCTACTATGCCGATAAAAGACCAATGAGTAGATGATTATTGTAGCCCCTTGGAGACAAAATAGGCAGAGGAAAGGCCATGACTGTTTGTGCTGAGCAAGCTTGTATAGATTGGTGGATATAGTAGGGAGGAGAGGCATTAGGGGCAGGGGCCATGTGTAGACTGGTGTAACAGTTACACTCCAGCCATTTTAGTTTTGCAACTGTCCCCCCCCGTATGTTGTCCCTCCCTACCTTCCTAGTTTGGTCGATTTATAGGGTTTGGGTCTTGGGGTGCTACTTTCACATTCTGCTGGGTTTTCTTTCTCTTTCAGAGGTGGCGGGTCACAAGGATGGCAGTGTTGGATTAGATTGTTGTCAGAGCATTGGCGGTAGCTTGCCTCTGTGGTTGGTCTATGGCAGGCATAGGAAACCTTCGGCAGTGCCGAAGGTTGCCTATCCGTGGTCTATGGCCGTATAAGGATGTGGTTAACTATATTAAAGGGACACTATAGTCAACCAGACCAATTCAGCTCAATGAAGTGGTCTGGGTACCAGGTCCCTCAGGTTTTAACCCTTCAGATGCAAACATAGCCGTTTCAGAGAAACGGCTATGTTTACATTTGGGGTTAATCCAGCCTCTAGTGGCCGTCTTCCGGAGAATGCTTTCCTATGGACTCTTTGAATGCGTGTGCAGCAATTGAGAAATGCTTTCCTATGGACTCTTTGAATGCATGGGAGCTGACGTCGGACCGGGAGGAGAGGTCACCAGCGCAGAGGGAGCCGTGGGGGCACCCTCAGGGCACTATAGTGTCAGGAAAACCGCTTTGTTTTCCTGACACTATAGTGATCCTTTAATTACATTCTGTATGTTATTTATGGTTATGTTCACCCTGTTTTAAAAGACATTGTCATTGCCTAATTTTATTATATGTTTTAATGTGATATGTAATGTTTATTCCACCTCCTATGTCTGTACCATGTGGTTTGATTCATGGTAGACACAGTCTAGTAGTACATTTTATTTACCCAATCATCATGTAGGGAACTTATATTCCATGCCTAGTGAGTGGTCGATAGGTGCACATAAATATTTATGAGCTTCTGGGGAGAACAGGCATACAGACAAAATTGAGAAAGTGACTACCCTTCCTTTGCTTTGTGAGAACCAGAGGGCACACTTATAGCTGCTGTAATGTTTACAAATATCTTCATTCATAAGCCATTGTAAGCAAGAAGGGTGAGTCTTGGTTGCTCCAGACCTTGGTTTCTCCAGCTTTCTGCAGAAGAGTCACAATTTTAAATTGCCATCCAGATTTACTTCTCAATTTGTTAATTGGAAACACCCCATGAAGGCCCACCCACCCGTCCTGATGCCATACCTCCCAATATTGTGAGGTATGGCAAGTATGGTGAGCGGTTGTGGTGCTGAGACTTTAGACTAACTCTTTAAGAGTAATTAAAATTCACCGAATTTGCACCTGCCTGTGCAAATAGTGCAGGTAGAGTGACAGACCAATATCTGTAAATATTATTCAGAGGGTCTATCATTCTCGGAAAGTAAAACCACAATGTTATTGGAAAAAGATAGCTACAGCAAAGATGGCCGTCACCAAATTATCTCCTTCCAGTATCCTAGCAGACATGAGATACCCAACCAGACTGTTACTGCTCAGAGTACTCAGTTCTTTAAATTATGCTACTTAGTAGTACTCAGTTCTGTTCATTATAGACTTCAGTATTTTTCCTCCATCCCCAGAGTGATGGATAATTGGAGATAAACAAAGAATGAGCACAGATTCAGCCTGTTGTACTACAAGCAACAGTCTAGATGGATTGTTAATATAATTAGCTGTTGTTCGTCTCTAGGGATTTACATGCTAGACCTATTAACAGATAATCTAGAGTTGTCATTCCTTAATCAGTGGCTTTTCTTGTAAACAAGATGATGATCAGGAAAAAAAGGTAAATCTTCCAAGAACAGTTTATTTTTGTAGAACCTCACTGTCTATAGCCGACAATTCATTCTGGCAAAAAAAAATCTTTCAATTACTTTCAATTCAAGATCATCATACTATTTGCCCAGCAGACATTGTTTGAGAAAACTTATTGTAGATTCCAAATATGAATCTGTGCAAAGAAAAATTACATTAGCACTGTGTTCAACTACTTGAACTTGAACTTCATGAGAATGGATTGACAAGCGTGAGGGATTATATAGTAAACACTGCATAGCAACACCACAATTTCATTAATTTACAGAAGTATTAAAACTGTTGTAAAATATATCTAACAGGAGGCGAAGTGACCACCAACGGTTTCAGATCCATCTTTCATGACTTCCAATTCCCTTTGTTATTTCCATGTTCTCTGAGGCACTATGCAAACCAAGCTATTTGTCTATAACATCGCTATGTGGATGGAATGCAAAAACACTTGAAGAAGGTAAAGGTTTTCCCAGGCGATGGTTCCCGAGATTTTGGAAATATGCTATTTCAGCCATTGAGGCCTATGATGGCATCCAGGCAGGAGGCCTACTCTCTTTCCTTTGATGGATGTGCTTGACACATTGGATCCCTTACCTACTGCTGAAGGCTTGTCATCCGCTATACTGCAACAAGACCTCTCCAACCCTGCAACAAAAGGGGACATTATAGAACTTGTGAAGAATTTCTGAACCCTTTTTAACTCTGATCTGGTTCCGCTCCGAGAGAAGCGTCACATTATTACTGATTGAGTCAAGGCCACAGAGGAGGATGTTGCCATCATTAGCTAGCAGCAGATCAAGCACGTCCAGGATACTACACTGCTACAATACTCGAGTCACTGTCAAAGCGGCTAGAGGCACTGGATAATCCTATAGAATGTAAGCACTCTGTGGAAACGGCCAATGATCTACTCGCTGCAAATTCTCGTGGTCACTACTCTATCCTAATTCTCTTTGACCTTTCTGCGGATCATCAACAGCTTCTTCTCATCCTCCGCAATATCGGTCTACAAGATATTGCTCTCTCCTGGTGCTCCTCCCACCTCTCCCAGCGCTCTTTTAGTGTTTCTTTCTCTGGCTCTGCTTCTTCTCCCCAACTCCTCTCTGTTGGTGTCCCCCAAGGTCCAGTCCTTGGTCCCCTACTGTTCTATATCTATACTGCCTCCCTTGGTAAACTCATTAGCTCCTTTGGCTTCCAATATAATTTGTATGCGGATGACACGCAAATCTACCTGTCCTCTCCTGATCTCTCCCCATCCCTCTTGACTAGTGTCTCTGACTGCCTCTCTGCTATTTCTAACTGGATGGCTGCCCACTTCCTTAAACTCAACTTGACCAAAACTGAAATTCTGTGTCTTCCTCTGTGTCTCCCTCCCTCCAAGTCAACGGTGCTACCATCAGCTCCACCATGCAGGCTCGCTGCCTTCGTGTTCTCTTTGAGTCCGACCTCTCCTTCACGCCTCATGTTCAGTCTATCGCCAAATCCTGTCGCTTCCATCTCAAAAACATTTCACGCATCCGACCCTACTTAACGCCAGATGCGACTAAGGTGCTGGTCCATTTCACTGTCCTTTCTTGCCTTGACTACTGTAATCTGCTTCTCAGTGGTCTTATGTTCTCCCAACTTGCGCCATTACAGTCCATAATGAATGCGGCGGCGAGGCACATCTTCCTGTCCGCCCGCACCTCCCACGCCTCACCCTTCTGTCAGTCCTTATATTGGTTCCTGTAAGATATAGGGCTCAATTTAAAATTCTGGTTCTTGCTTTCAACTCTCTACATAATGCTGCTCTCACCTATCTATCCACCCTAATACACAAGTATGTCCTGTCTAGGCCCTTACGCTCTGCTGAAGACTTACGTCTATCTTCTGTCCGTACTCCCACCTCTGAGGCTCGCCTTCAAGACTTCTCGAGGGCTGCACCGTTCCTGTGGAACTCACTTCCCTTCTCCGTTAGATGCTCAACCACTCCTTCAAAAAATCATTAAAAACCCACTTCTTCATAAAAGCGTATCAATTAAACTGTTAATAGCTCCCGACTGATTCCTCTCTTGCAACTGTCATTAGTCTAATACTATCCTTACCTTTTGTGTCACTTTACCCCACTCCCTCTAGCATGTAAGCTCATTGAGCAGGGCTCTCAACCCCTCTGTTCCTGTGTGTCCAACTTGTCTGGTTACAACTAGATGTTTGTTCGTCCACCCACTGTAAAGCGCTGCGGAATTTGTTGGCGCTATATAAATAATAATATAATAATAATCACCGCAAGACATTTTGGTCTGCTTCCAAGCTTTATGAGACAAATTGGATATTATCATGGTGGTGCATGATAAAACCCTCTTTTTATTTGAGAATCAATGGTTCCTCTTCCTTCAGGACTTGTGTTGCTCCACTCTGATCTAGAGGCAAACTCTATCCCTAGTCACTTCGTATTTGAGAGCAGCAGGTGTCTGATATGGATAAGGACACTGCTAGTTGACCTAGATAGGGCCCAACAAAAGCTTACTTCAACAGCAGACAAGGCAGTTTTTTTTTTCACAACCAGGATTCCCTTCCCTAACCACCCCCCCCCCCAAGCTGGGATGGCATCTCAATCATCAATCTCATCTCACGTGTGGATCCCAGCCAATATCATGAGCTATGTCCCTGGCAATATTGCTCAATGTGTTGATTTTCATTTGACTTTGCTTTTATATCTATTTTGCTGTTTGTTTGTTTTTATTGTTCCACACTTTGACCAAGGAAACCCCTCCCACGCCCCCTCTTTTTTGGCAAATTTCTACAGATAGTAAACAGATTGTATTACTTGTGTAGCAGGTGTGATTCTGTGTGTAGAGTTGATGTTTGTATATAATTAATACATTTTAATACAGGGGCATGTTTGTATGTTATGCTTGGATTTATGTGAAATGGTGTGTTTGGATGTAGTGTTGGATTTTCAATGCATTTTGTGTATTATTCGTGTTTGAGTAAAGGGTGTGTTTGAGTGTTTGTAAATAATTTTAGTTTGAATTCAGGAGTGGTTTTTTTATGTCATGTTTGTGTTTACAGTCTTCTGCTGCTGTCTCTCTCACCAGTCTGCCTGCTTGGCTGACGTTTGGTATTGCTCAATACCAATCATGATGCATTCCCATAGGAGTGTCAAGGAGGTAGATCATGCGCAGAACCAGCAAAAGCCAAACACATCCCCGTCCAATCAGCATCTCTCAAATAGATGAATTGAGTCAATGCATCTCTATGAGAAAAGTTCAGTGTGGAAACACTGTGCAGCACTGCCCCAGGAAGCACCTCTAGCAGCAATGCTACACAGGGACAAAATGAAAATGCTGAGGAATTTGTTGATAAAAGTGTATAGTGGTGTGAATGACCCAGAGAGAAATGCAGAACCTATGATAGTTGCTATCTTTGTGAACGGATTGTTACCGGATATTGCTACCGGATATAAAGACAGGAGTAAAAAGAGTGATGATTGGATGGTAAGAGAAAGTACGAAAAGTATGTTGTCTCCGCTGCAAAGCATTTTACGAAAGATAGAAAAAGTCAGAAAGTTACTGAAGTTAAAGAGTATAGAGCTGCAATGAGAGAAGTGGTTTCTGTTTCACAGCCTGTGTCTGGAAGAAAAGAAATACTGATATGTTGGTGCCATGATCTGAAGGGAATTGGACATGTTATAATTGTCATAAACCTGGTCATATAGCTAGGAATTGCAAATGTCCAAGTAAGAACATGATTGTTGGTGAAAGAAGAGAAAGTTATAGTTTTGATAGATGACAGTTCTCCACTGCAGTCAGTCCACACAGAGCACAGTGGATACCTCCACAATATAGACAGGACAGTAATGTACAAGATTGACCAACTAACATCCCTGTTCCTACTTTCTCTGACTCATTCCCCATTGTACTGACTGAAAGCAGCAAGGTGAATTGTTATTGTAGGACTCACCTAAGATTTTTGCTTTGACGTGGCAGGTGAACTTAAACTTAAATATTAAAGTGATTAAAAAAAAATACAATTAAAGAATTAAAAAACAACAATTTAGTTATTTAAATGTGCATAGGGATTTGGAATAGTGCACAAGTAACTTTTTTCTTTGGTTTTATTATATGTATTGGGGCTGATGTGTACTATAGTCATTGCTGCCACCCAGGAATGATGGGAGTTTAAGCGCTGGGCTTACTTTTGTATGTTTGTATTTGCTTTTATATTACATAGCCATGTTACAATGCTGCTGCCCACCCCATATGTTCCCTATAAAGAGTTAATACCTGTATGGGTTCATAAAAATACCACTCTAGCTGAAAACAGCAGGGTTGATTTGGGAAGAACCCCTTGTTAAGATAAAGATTTAAACCAGGTATCACTTTACCCAGAGTTAATCAATATCTTCTTAGCAGACCTGCTTTGCAGAGTATTGTCCCTGTGATAAAATAATTATTGTGTAATATTCCAATTTTGTCTGTTGTAATGCCAGGTTCGGAACTCCTCTAATTATTGATTTGTACAGGTTAATTGTGATAGCTGACAATAAGGTTGTGCAATCAGTTTTCCTCATTGTTTCTAACCCTGCTACTATCCTGTATTCACCCAGAGGCCAGACAGTTCACTGTAAGTGACCTAAGTACAGTAATTGTTAAATACTCTAATGCTGCGTAGTTAAATAGCCATTTTTAAAATTGCATACAGGCATAAAAGTTACACTTCACAAGCTCATAATGGTAAGTCCTATGCTTACTGCTAATTCTATAGAAATATTAGTGCATGACCATGCTATGATAGATGACACAATCAGCGTTAATTGTAAGACTCTAATGAAATTCTTTAAGTCTCTTAACCACAGGTACAAGCAGTGCACATGAACACAGAAGACAACGAATCAATTAATCAAATCCAACCAGGAGACTACATATTGGTCGAAGGTTTCAAACAAAAGAAAGCTCTCCAACCTTGTTGGAGGGGCCCATATCAAGTCTTGCTTTTAACTAACATAGCTGTCAGCCATAGGAGGATAGACAAACTGTGTGGACCCAAACCCACAACCCAAAGGCCTTTTTGTTCCTGGTTCTAATAAAATTGCCTTTGCTTTGGAATTCGTTGGAGTGCTTGCATTATTTTCTATATTCGAAATTCCATCTTTCTGGGAGGGTATACATAATATGCTGTGGAAATTCTCTAATGCACTGCCACCCCAGACCCGGCGGCAATAAACCTGCACCACACGTCCAACCCCAGGTCCCAGTATAAGAAATCCATGTCCATTAGAATCCTGAACACAGCTAAACAGGTCCTTCCACAGTATTGGAAACAGGTGATCACCCCCCCCCCACTTCGGACATGGTTCACCCAAATGGAAGAACTATGGGCAATAGAGAAGCTCCATATGGGGGCAGCTAATAACACCATAGCGTATATGGAGACTTGGTCCCACTGGATCCTATCCACTGCAGCGGCATACTTCACATCTCAATTACAATAGCCACTTCCTGAACAGGGATATGAGAAGAAGGACACCCAGAGCGGTGATTCCCCGTAGCTGAAGGGTCTAGCAATCCGGGACAGGGTAAGATGCAGACAGCACTGGGCTCAGATGGGGGGAAAACACCCTTACTGGGTATTAAAGAACTTCATCTCCGCACCCACTCTATGAGACCCCTAGAGCACTGGGATCTACAATCACTGATCTAAAGTCAACCTCCCCAACCACCATTTAAAGCTTGTACCAGTAACAAGTTAGTCTTCCAATGGGATCAGTAATCCCAGCTGACTAACCTCCGTGGGAAAGCTGAGAAGTGCCAAGAGGCCAATCATGAAACCATGCAGCCAATTCATGGAAAATTTCGGAAACAAGAAAAAAATATTTTTGCACTGAACTCTTCCAATCTAGAGGAAAGGTTCTTAATGTGTTTTATATGTCTTGCTATATTGTTTATGGGATTGTGCATTTCTGTAGTATACTTGTATCATTCATGTCATCTCTATTGTCAGACACAAAAGGGAGGAGATTAGAGTACCATGGGAGAAAGATAATTCATATATTGACATATGCATAATTTTATATAATGCATCAGGAGTAAATCAGCCATGTTGGGCATGTGGATTTGTTCCACATACTACAGACACTCCTGATATTTGGTACCTCTATATAAAGTCGAACATTTCTTGAGAACTAAAAATTGGGTTTAGTTTTATACAGCCTGTGTTAGGAGAGTACTCTGGTAAGCCAAGGAGATTGACCCTGATTGTGGGTGCAAAGAAAGGTGGGAGATAACGTAACAGGAAATTCCAAACTAAGGAAGGATATTTTTGTACCAATGATTCCAAGTGCAGAGGCAGTGTGGGCCCCATATAATGATAATTGCAGAAATCACAACTTATCCCGCAGTATCTATTGGCTATGTGGTAAGTAGGCTTAAAGAGTATTAGGGATGTGCATGGGCAAAATGTTCGGTTCGGAATTCCGTAATTCGGGACTTCGGCACTAAGGCACTTCAGATATGTTCTCTTGCAGCCGCTTAGTAGATAACTCCCTAATTCCCATGGTATAGATTACTTAGTATTAGTAAATTCTGCCCCTACTCGCTATACCGCGAGTAGGGGCATGTCTAGTAAAATTCAGCACGTGTAGGGGCTCGGGAGGGGGGACACTTGGGTTTTGTTTTTTAAACAGTGTGCAGCCACAGGCTGCTCACTGTTTACTAGACATGTCCCTACTCGCGGTATAGCTAGTAGGGGCAGAATTTACTAATACTAAGTAATTTTTACTTGGTATTATTAAATTTGGCGCAAATACCATGGGAACTAGGGAGTTATCTACTTACTCATTCCCATCCATTGACTGGCTAAGTAACTTACATTTTAAATGAATGTGTTACTTGATTGTTGTAAGTGTTGCAAATGCTTACAGGTGAATCCTGGCTATGTGTGCATACTTTTTATTTAAACTGGTATATAGTGTAACATTCTTCATTCTTCCACTTCGGCACTTCGCATTTCGGACTTTCGGCAAATCTGAAATTCTGCGCTTCGGAAATCCAGCACTTCAGTTCGGCACTTCTGAAATTCGGCACTTCGGAAAGTCAGGTATTTGGACATTCGGAAGTATCCGAATGTCCGAATTGCCTGAAATTCGTCCTAACTGACATTCAGAACTAAACGAATTGCACATATCTAAAGAGCAACTGGAAAGGAAGTTGTCGTCTAGGGCAAGTATTGCCTGCCTTTACCATAAGAGGTGATCTACCTAATAGATGTTTTTAATATTAAAACCAGTACAACCAAAATGGTCCTTTCTATATTTCCCCAGGTAGGAGAGGGATATGTTTTAACTAAGAGAACTCAATTGGCCGAAGTATTCAATAATGCCTTGAAATATTCCAATGATGCCATTTCCAAATTAGATGCCTAACAAATGCAAATCAGAGTGATGGTCTTACAGAACAAAATGGCCTTGGATTTTATTTTAGTATCAAAAGGAGGAGTGTGTGCTGAAGCGGTGACAGAAACGGACTTAGATTAAATGGGTGGAATTCAGAATAAACTACACCAGATTAATGATATATGGGATACATTAGAACTTTAAAGATTGCCTGGTTCACTTTAGGAAAACTAGTGACTGGACTGATTGTGGCTTTGTCTGTTATTGTATGTGTTCTTTCTTCTGATTAAGGTGCTGATTGTAAAGTGTACGTGTAAGGTGAAGAATTCCCTCATTTAAACCTAGAAACCTAGAAACTCTGTATAATGCAGTGTATGATGATTCACATGAACCGAAACTAATGAACACATGGATCGCTATGCACCAAAGTTCATCTTGTCACAGAACAATTTATTAACTGATTCTTATATTCTTGCACTTTTCTGGCGAACTTTTCACTTTTTATACTTGGGGAACATTCATGTGTTGAGCTGCTTTTCAACTATAATCATTTCAGAGCTTTCTGATTGCAACGGATATAATTTCTGATTTTATTATTTTTAGCGCTCTTTTACTAATTTTGTATTTGTTATTCTTATATCAACCATGTTTGTCCTCTGTGTGACTTTGTGTGCATGAAGGGTTAAGAGTGTGGTATTTTTGCTCCAAGTAGTTCTATAAAAAAAACTGGCCTTTTCTATTCAAAGATCATAATGGAAACAGGCAAAGATGGGTTATCACCTCAGGGCGATTGGTCAGAAGTGATGAGAAGAGTCAGAAGCTTTGCATGTCTGTCTGCACGACAATGGAAAAAGTGGGCTTAGAGGGACCAACATTTGATTTGGAAATTATGTCTAGTAGAAATGTAGATTTAAAAGAATTTTCCTCACGTTAAAATCAAAGAACAGAATGTCTGTGCATACTCTGTAATTGTCAGTGACTGTACTTCTGTACTGTTTATAATTGAATCTGTTTGCATGTGACAAAGCCGAAACGTTTTAAAAAAAAGAGAATTTAGTTATTTAGGAAAAAATAAGGAAATAACTAAGAGCAGTAGAGGCATGGAAAAAAAAAAAATAAAGCGCATAATTTAAAATAGGTTTTGTGTTGTAACTCCGAACAGATGTTAATTGTCATTTTTTAGATGCATGTTGGAATAGTTTTATTTAAAAAAAAAAAAATAACGTTCCATTTACACTAGTAAAAACAAGGTGAATCACATCTAATTTGTTCTATTTTAATCTTGTTTGGGTAAAAGCATAATGAGACATTCATTTATCAACTATAAATAACACACACACTCAATTAAGGTTCTTTAAAAGTTTTTTCTTATTTTATTATTTCATTTTATTAATAATAATCTCTCTTAAACATCCCTTTAAGGGCGAAATTAAATAGAACCATTTATAAAGAAAATGATTTGCACGTGTTCATTTCATTATATAATTATCTTTACATCAAAGAAAGAGAACACAAAAAAAAAGATTTTACTTAATTGTTAAAAGATCACAGCCTTTACAATAGAAATTTGCTATAATTACAGACATTACAATATCCCTTCTTTGAACAGAATTACATGCCCTCTTCCCTTTCTAGAGAGCTCTGTTAATCGATTGCACACTCTATGGAATTCATACAACACAGCAGAGATTCATGAAGCTGCACCTTTGCTTAAATTGATCTTAAAAATATATTACTCCATACTGCATCATATATTTTTTTTCCATTTGTGTCACCCCCCAGCAATAACTTAAGAGACAGCAGTACTTTGATTTATTTTTATAACATAGTAAGCGGTCATTGTTAATTTAACCTTTTAGTTTATAGAAGGTTATATCCCATATTCCAATCATTCATTGCAGAATACACAGAGAACTAAATAAGGTACACTCTCTTTAATACCACAATCATATATTTTCCAGACAGATATAAAATGTCCTTAAGACAGAAACCAGAATAATATTAGTGGACATTTGTTCTTGACTAAATTCCAAAAGCGCATCTCCAAAGTGAAAATGTGGTGTATGTCATGTACAAACTGAGTGCTCTAAGCTCTTTGACACTTGTCAGAAATTGAGGTTTCCCATCAAAATATTATTTTCTTGGAGGAATTCTCCTGACTGGGTTAACATTGAATTTATTCGCAGTGAACAACTTATGTGAGTGGTGAACATTATTTACTTTAGAATCAGCTGTGTTTCTAAGCTGCCAGTTGGCACAGCCAGACCTAACAGCCAAACACTGATTTTTTTAGCAAATGCCCAAGGTGATAAATCTTAGGTTTTCAAGCCCTGAAGAATTATCACCTGTCATCATCTAAACTAGAGACATCGATTCGAGAGTAACCGATTCTTGATTTTCAGTCCGTTCCTTTAAACAGAGGGCCAAGCATCATACAAAAATGGGTTTGAAGGATTATTTAAAGGTTGTGCAACATATATATAAATTACTTCTACTACATAGTTTTAACTCATTATGTGATGTGTCCAGCAGTTAGATTCTATTTGAACAGGTAGAATTAAATAGTTTAAGATGTAAATCCCACTCATACGTAAATCAGTAAAATGACTAATTTGGTATCCCAGACAGGCAGACATCTAGAAAATAAATGGAGGAGGGAGTAAGAGACAGGAAATATTGGATAAGAGAAAAGGAACACAAATATTACAGTGATCTAATATGCATTCCACTAGCAACTCGTTACTTAAAAATGGAGAGGGGTCATCATTAATATCTCTGGCCAGGGCCTACCAGTGCCAATAGGGGGTGCTACATCTGATCTATAATTGCAAGTAAAATAATGCTTATTATTAATAGTGGTAATAAAAATATTCATGGTTCAAAGGTAAGGAAGCATTCAGCTAAAATATAACTTCCCTGTTAAAGGAAATTTGCACATATTATTTTGTTGAATACTTTTTTTAAAAAAAACTTGCATTTATTTCAGCAAGCTCACACAGATCATAGTACTACTAGCAGCGACTGTTATCTTGCCCTGCAGCCAGTGTAAATCTATGAGACTATAAACTATTAATATGACATTGTAATCAGAATGTTATACATCCTTTTCTAATTCCTTATCATTTCCTGTCACAATTTACTTTTGCATATAAGCAATTTCTGGTCATAAAACGCTGTCTGAAAAACGAAAGCTCTACTGAACCACCATATTGTTTGTTTTTAAATGTAGTTATCCTCTATAACTTTGCTTTGGGTAAATTAACTAAGCTATGGGTGGCTAAAAAGTAGATATCTAATATTAAAATCCCTCTACACTTTGCTAGTCTTGTAGTTGTAGTTCCACAGTAGCAGATGATCCATCCTCTGTTCCCCTCTGAAATATTTTGTGTGTGGGAGGGTGGGGGAGGGGAGAAATAAATAATAGTAAAGCAAACAGATTAATATATTTCAAGCTATGGTCTAACTAGAATTATTATCTGATAGTGTTTCAGTGTGCAGGTGGCCATTTTATAATTGTATCACTATTTACAAACCCTCTGTGTTGCTGAAAGAAAAAAAAAGCAGCAAATAATGTGGGATAACCAAACAGTGCCCAAATATTATACATTCTCATGGCATGGAGACTATTTCTGTTGACAGAAACACCTCAAGGAGAATGTTTCTATTTTAATTATTTTCAGGTGTGTTATTTTCAAACTAAATTATTTTTGTCTGGACTAGGAATGGCTGAGCTCACTGAATGTGCCCTTTATTTCTCTTATACAATGGAGGGTTGGATGCTGCACCTATGATAAAATAAAAATAAAATTATAGTGACATTTTTGGCTGCTAACCAAATGCAGCAAAGCGTACACAAGCTCTGAAATATATCAGAACATTCACAGACTCTGTTTGCAAAGAACATACAATAGTGATGTATAAATCATTATAGTTTAAACAAAAAAAAAAAAAAAGGGCATTGATATTTTAGTGCCAACTACTGGGTCATAACGTTATAGCTGTACATACCGGGAAGAATAATGGCAAGTGGTTATTTACGGTTTTAAAAGGACACTTTAAGTAACATAACCACTACATTTTAGTGTAGTGGCTTTGGTACGTAGAGGATTCCCTTTTTTCCTACAATGTATAAAACACTGCTGTTTTTTAGAGAAACTGCAACGTTTACATTTGGCTGAAAATGCGTCTAGTGGCTGTCAAACAAAAACCCCCTACAGGTGCTTACGTCCTGCAATATTCAATGACTTCATGTTCAGCATAATCACGCACGACGTGATGATGCCAAATGCGGATAATTAATTCTCTAAATGAAGCACTGCTGTTCATTTTGTGTCCTTAGTGCTTCTGTATGAGAAGCAACATGGAAGGATCGAGCTGTAGTCTTGAATCTGAAATTCTGGCTAAATGTAATTGCTTTTTGCAACTTTCTGTTTTCACACCTGACATAAGAACTTTTCTAAGGTTAGGAGAGAAAAAAATTGCTTCTCTTGAGCAGAATATATTCACTGGCAGACTATTACTGTACGCCAGTTAATTTATCCTAGTCTTATAGTCATGTTAATTTACTAGAACCCAACAGAATTAGCAATCTTGCCAATTCTAGTAGGTTTAAACAGATGATCAACTAACAAACTCAAATAAAAATGAAAAATTACACCGTGCATAGTCATGTTTTACATTATTTAATTGAACACTGAAAACTGCAATCTGTAATTCTTAGCAATTCCACTAAAACTAAAAAGGTCAAAAAAATACATAACCTTAAATCTTTTTATCCTTGTTTGTTATTTTATCGTTGCAGACAATAGCAAAATGAGTGATTCACAGGCAAAGACGTCAGTGCTGGAAAGGTTATTAAAGAGTTAACCTGTAGAAAAATAAACTCTGGCTAATATCTCTTATCAAAATATGCATGAAAAGAATGCACTTGATCATCCAAGTTCTTATATCCCCCATTAACTAGCTCCGGAGAAAGCCTTCTGGTACTAAGCTGTACAGCTATGAATGGTTTTCATACAGAGATATAACCTCTCTTGTTTTGAAATACACGCTGTTCTGATGAGGCCCATTTGGTAAAACAGCTAGCTTTTTAAAAGTACTGCGTCACATCTCGTTACTGACTATTACTTGATTTGATCCCGGAGTGAAGAATAAATCAGGGCAAATGATGGATTTTACAGGTTTATATTTATCAAATGAACAATAACTTATCATGGGTGATAAGTTATTGTTAATATAAATATATAAGTGATAAGATTTTTATCTTAAGTGTATGCAGTTGTGTTACACGTGTGGTAATATAAAATCTTAGGGGTTTAACCAGTAAACTGCATTAAACCAAAACCAACATTTAAAGGGTCACTCCAAGCATCGTGACCACTTCAATGTTTTCAAATTGTCATGGTGCCTAGAGTCTGTATATGCAAAGTTTCAGTATGAAACACTGCTTATACAAAGTTTAACGTCTACAGAGTTTAACTTCAGCTCCGGTGGTGTCATTTAAGTGTCATAAGCCAACTTCGAACAAAGGTTCCAGGCTGCCTAATGCCAGTTACGTGCAAATTTTCCCCCACAGTGTGCCATTCATTGACAGAGTGGTCAGCTGATGCTCTCAGCCAATAAATGGCAAATCGATGGGCTTCTAGCATTCTGTTGCTCTGCATAAGATGGAAGCATGTCACAAGTGGGAAATGGAGTCACCAAAGTCTTTTTACGTAAGTTCACCAAGTGCTTTTCACCCTGTCATGCGTTTGGAGAACTTTGGCAAAAACACCAAGTTGTCAAAGAACATTAGCATACACAGCCTGGAGAGGATCCCCTTCTGGATTTCAATTACCACGGACAAGACCAGGGAATGGAGCGGTATTCTGCAAACACAGGAGACCACCCCCTCCAGCAGTCAGCATCTTCAAAACCCAGCAAAAGGAATAGAGACTGTCAGAACTGCTTGTTCACATATCGAGAAAAAGTAACCAAAAGAAATAAAAAAGGAGCAGTAACAAAAATAATAATCTATGTTTATATTATATATTTATAAATATTTTTTTATTTATTTTATTGGTCAGTTTTCACTTGATTTGTGAATAAAATCAAGATTTAGGATATGTCCTGCTAGCCGCCAATCTTGATGAGTGTGGGATACAGACACAGACAGTACAATGTTGGGCTTGTTGTGCACAAAGCTCTCCACTTACTAACACTGGAAGGAAATAGGGACAAAGAAGGCAGAAACAAATTTAACTCCTTAGGATCTAAAAAGTGCACTCTTATGATTGGCTAAAATGCAACCCCTGCATTTCACATAATGAGAGCATTCAACATTTTTATTTAATTATATTGCATGGTTAATGCTTTATAGAGTGATAGACTACAATAATATTCCAGTGCTTGGATTGAAGCTTCAACTGTTTGTCCCAAAATACGTCCAGCACATTGCCTTGCAAGGCTTTGAGCACATATTCGGCACTCAATGGGTTACACATTCTTTCAATTTATATATCTACACATTAAAAATGATCTCCTCCTAATGGGCTGTCAGAAAAAGTAGTAAAATACCAGTAAAAAGTTATTTCTCTTAAATTCAGTTTTGGGGTTTTTTGTTTGTTTGTTTTTTTATTATTATTATTTTTTAACTGCCAGCAAAAATTTTTGTAAATAAACAAGCCTGTTCTCTAAACGCGATGGCATCAGGGATCTAGACAAAAAAAGATAATGAAATCTTTTCTATTTGAATGGAAATTTGATACAGTACACACAAACAAAATAAAAAAATAAAAATTAATTCAAATGAATAAGTTTATTACGATTAAAATAGCCTTCTCCCCAAACTGACCGACATGCTCAGGGCTAGAAAAACTGACTTGTATGTTATAGGGTTAGTTAGTGGAGGGGGAAGGGAGACAACTGTTGCTATTTTCACACAGGGCTGGGTGTGCAGGGGGACCTTTCCTTTTATACAGGAAACAGCCGCAGAAATAGTATCCCTACGGCCTCATACACCGCAACATTAAAAGAGAGAGAGAGAAAGCAACAGACAGACTGCACTGCCGAACTGGACTAAAGAAAATGTTTTTAGATATCACAGGGCCCGCATTTCTGGTTTAAACAAAAAAAAAAATGTATTGGAGAGGTTTTAATAGTGTATTAGTTAAATGTTGTGCAGATTTAGGGGGGGAGGGATGAGAATTTAAGGAAATAATCAGGATTGTTACATAGCAAGGTAAAACAAAGTTACAACATTTTTGATTAGCAGTAGCAAATGGCATCCGTTACCCACAATGCAATGCAAGCTGAACCTGCTGCATCCAAATTGCTAGATTAATACCTTGGTTGAAACGCTCCGAGATGTGATCAGTACAGTTTGGACTGTCATATTTCTCTGAGATTGTTTCTATATTTTTATTTAACTGAATTAAAATTTTACTCTGGCCTCTGAAAAATTAGATCCAAAAGAGATGCATATGTATGTCCTTAATTATTTGGTAGGATCATTAAAGGGACACTCCACTGCCCAAATACATAATGAATCAAATAAATCACTTTTTAGTAAATGAAGCCCAGATGAAAAGTTGCATGCATTTAATTACGCATTTTGTTAATTGAGAGTTATATCTAAAAATAACTTGCAGAACCTGAAGATCTCGTCTGCTGCCTTTGCAAGCCCTACCCTGTCAGACTTTCTGTGGCTGTCCAATCACAGACTTCCCAATGCAACTCAATGAGAAGTCTTTGCAAGGCAGGTACTCGGAGCCATTGAGATAACCAAACCAGGAAGTAACAGAACCCACTGTCTGCTTGAAGGCATAGGTGGTGTAACCAGGTTAATTTATAAAAGTGTCAATTTCTTTAGAAATTTGCACTTTTTCCAAAATGAAATCTTCCAAACAAATTCTTCACACAAAACTTTTCAGCACGCTAAAGTGCTTTAGGGGTCTGGAGTGTCCCTTTAAGCATCTACCTATAGTTATTTCTATTTGCGCCTGCCATTAAGCAAAGCAATTAGGTTTAAAACAGGACATGCACAGATGATGTTGCGGAACTTCTATTAGGTTTTTAAAAAAAAATTACATTAAAATGCCTCTTGATACCCAAATATTTATCAAAACACTTTATATAAAGAAAATTGTATATTCCGTGTTTGATAACTTCCCATCATACATGGAATATTTTTTAGCCTAAATATAGATACACAGTTCACTTGGAGATGAGCTTTTGAATGAAGTTTGATATAGCAAAGATGCTTCAAAAATGGTGGTTCAAGTTCACATTTGATGGAGTTTTTCACCTTATTTAGCTCCATTACAAAGTCAATTTAGCCTATTAAACTTCTCCCTTTCAGGCACTTGGTTTTGCTATCAGTCCTTATTTAGACACACTCTGCAGCTTAACAAACTGCTCTCTGTTGCTTGATAGCTGATCATAAGCCGCTGTACAAGCAAAACAATGCAAGAAAAAGCTATGTCATAGCAGCGACTCGTTCAGTAGTAACTGGACTCTCTTCCTGTAAATTGATACAATTCCCCATCACTACTGGTCTGTAGGGCTGCCATATAGGTCCAGATTATCTGTACAGGCAGCTTTGGTTGAAGACTCCAAAAACAAAATGATATATACAGCTCTGAATGTGTGAGCGACTTGTATCATTGTAAACACATATTGAACAAGGAGGGAGCCTTGTTCTAATAAAAAACAAAACAAAAATTAAATATTTACTTTTTATTTTTTTGCAGTTAGAAAATTTTATGTTGGATTTTTTTTTTTCCCTCTTACATTGCAATCAACATTTCAAATAACAGTACGATTGCTGGCACTCTTGACCAAAGCAAACAGCTGCATATATTACTTCATATTACCCACAACCAGAAGGGGCCTAATGGACGTGCCATGTTTTTTATTCCTTTTCATTTTTTGTCTGTCCCCTGGATTCAAAATTTATGGACAAAAGAAATCTTTATTGAACTTACAAAAATATACATTGAAAAAAAAGAAAGAAAATATAAATTTGAGAATAATAGATCTTCTTGAGTTGGCATGCCTGTTTCTATGTGCCAACCTTACAGGGCAGAGTGTATTTAGTAGTCAATTACCTTCTGCAGTGGATTAGAACAAAGAAGATGTGATTTTCAATAATGCCCATTTCTTTCCCACCTTGGACGTGATATATCGGCAATTTAATGTTAACCTATAAACTCGTACACGGACTCCCCACGCAGGGAATCAAACCCAACCTAAAACAGTTAGATTTAATCCTCATTAGCAAAGCTCTGACAAGGAACCTATGTGATAGTGATAAAAAAAGTGCTAAGCTTGGAGTGAATCACCCACTTCGATTTCTGCCTACTGGGCCTACTTTGGCAGTATTGGATTTAAAATTCTGGTCACCATTCATACTAAAATAAAACTATGTGATATGCTTAAAATAAAAAAAACAACCAAACTCCACATAATGACAAAACAGCATTTTGCAATTTCCTATTGAGTCCCACACCTATTTGCAGATATCTTGGATCTGTGAGGTAATTTTGGTCAGCTATAAGCTAAATTAAACTTCAGGCTATCCATTTCAACAATCCACATGCAAACTATGAATAATTTAATTATCTTAGTTTTTTTTTTTCTGCTC